CTTTGGGTGCATCCATATCAGCATTTTAGTTTGGACCAGGAGCGCACTTCTGAGGTGAACCTCTTGGTTGCCCTCACTTCTCGCACCACACTTGGTGCTGCAGAGTCTGTGTGTGAAGCCCAGCCTTGCGCTTGAATCCACGGGGTAACAGTGTGATGCCAACATGAACCGACTAGTGAAAACGTGTGTCTGAAACACATGAACTTCCTCTAACAACACTTGTGCTAAATATCACGACAGCAAAGTCAAGAGTGCGGCTACTCTTGCAAACTTTTTACGCCCCTCTCTCTCTTTGCATTTGATATAGACCCATCCTGGTCACTGTTGTCTAAAAGCAGCTGTGCTTCTTTGAAGCGCCTTGTTTCCCCCAGCATCCACCCAGATATTTAGCTAATTTGGCAAAACATAACCGTAAACGTCTGACCAACCGCCTCATCTGCTCTGCTAGCTCTCACTGCATCCGTCCCCGGAGAGAGAGCAGCCCCTCCGGTGCCTCCGTGCACGTGCTGTGGTGGCAACTGCCAAAACAACCTGCTGGGATGTAGAGAGATGGCCCACTTTTCTCCCTTTGCTTAATTCAAGCAAATGAAATACTTCTCTATCCTGAACATTAGAGTATGGTGTGTATTTTCAAAAAGCGTCATTTTAAGGGAGTTAGGTAGAAAAAACTTTGATTTTTCCAGAAGTCTTTCTGAAACTATGGAATTTAACCTATTTCGATTCAGGCAGGCAATGCCAGGTTTTCCTAGTTAGCCTGTCCTAAGCAGCAAAGAGCTCAGGCGGTGTCTGCTTCTGCTGCTGGCCCCTGCTCGGCTCAGGGACCTGAGCATGGCCGCTCTGCTGTGTCACCCGCATGTCCCGGGGCATCAGTCCCACTGCGGCTGGGACAACTCACCTTTGGAAAGTTTTGTCAAAACCAAAGTGGAAACGAGTTTCGACACGCACCGCCTGAACTTTGCAAAGTAGTAACAGTTTATCAAACGATTTCTGAATGGCTTGTGTTGTTACTGCTCCTGGCGACGCTGGCAGAGCTCGCCTTTCTGAACCAGCAGTGTAACACACCCAGTGTGCGTACAGGTGTTAAGAGCTGGAATTCTGTTTCAGGCAGACCTTAATTCTTTAAAATTCTGGTTTCATTCTTAAACTATTGATGCTGCACTTTGTTCTTAAATGTCAGTACAAAATAAGTAATACCTGCAATTTATTCAGATGACATTTCAACAATACGAGATTTTCAGATTACAAACTACAGCCCCCTGTTTCTCATGGTGTTACACTGAATGTGTAGATTTTGTGGATTTACATAATGGGTTTGTGTAATGAATATTTATATAATGAAAGCATTTGCATAATGACTGCAAGTTAAACATGCACAATAAAGATTCCAGGCCAATAATTTATGTACTAAGTTAAAAATCATCTCTAAATACGTTTTATATTTATTCCTACTAAGGGTTCATTTTATCTCTTGTTCAAAAAAATTGAATCCGACCTTATCCAAGTAAAGGCTGCATTGATGCAAATCAGGATAGTATGTTGGAATTAGTCTACATTGAATCATTTGTATTCAGAGATTTCAGTTTCTTATCTTTTAGTAGCAGCTTTGACAAAAAATTTCAGAATACTCTAAATATGATTTGTTAATATAATTTAGTGTTGCATTTTAGATGCAATGCTTGCATGTAAGCCTCATTAGTGCCATTGGGAATTACAGGAGAAAACTGGTAGAAATTATAAAGTGCAGATGAAGCTTACATTTAGATAAAGGTAATTTGCGGCAAACAGAATATAAACCGTTACAGAAATCTGACGTTTTCAACTCTCTTGCATTTTATTTTCTAATAAATCCAGGCTTCTTGTTTGCCAGACTGGTAATTGGATTTGAGTGCCATTTATAACTGTCTGTACACTAGAACATACACCTGACCACAAAAGTGGTCCAGCCTTACTGAAATGGGGAAATTCTTCTTTGTTTGGTAGACTAGTGGGCAGAACATATTCTGTAAATTACATGTTTGCTTCCATCACATTTTATAAGATTTTTGAGCAAAAAGTAATTTGGATCCTGTGTTGTCCCACTCCAGACAGAGTTCTGTCCATTAATCAACCAGGGGACAGCCAAGGCCTCATTGGTGCTTGCCTCTTGGAAGAAATGGGGTTTGTGACGATTCATCCCTGTAATGTAGCGTTTGCAGCAAGTTTGCCAGGCCTCAGCACTAAGGCTTGTCAGAGCATCTCTGCCTGGACTTGTCCTGCCCTGCCTGCAGCTTTGTCCTGCCTGGTTCAGCTGGTGCAGCATCTCCTCCAACAGAGCAGGCATCCCCGGCTAATCTGTATTCCTCCCCGCGAAGGATCCTGGGTGCTGACAACTCACCATAACAACCCCCCACCACAATGAAGCCACCAGCCTTCAGCCCCCGTGGAGAGGGAAAGTTGCACTAATCATCGGGAAAAGGGGCAGAAACCAAGCGTGTCTGTAACAACTTTAACTGTGTTAATGTTCTTTGCTTTTGGTAAATCACAGAGTCACTGAATGGTTTGGGTTAGAAGGGACCTTCAAAGATCATTTAGGCCATCCCCCTGCCACGGGAAGGGAATATTAGATCCAGGCTAATGGTGGTTCTTGAGTTGGGTGCATACCTCACTGTTTTCGTAATTAATTATACGTGCTTGTCCTGAAGGGCCCCTCCAGACAAGGGAGACACGGACATCCTGGAAGGATCCCAGCAGAGGGACATGAGGGTGATGAAGGGGCCAGAGCATCTGAACCGGGGAGTAGCTGAGGCAGGTGGGGTCTCAGCCTGGGGAGGGGAGGGCTTGGGGGTCCTGTACCTGATGGACCCAGACTCTCCTCAGAGGTGCTGGTGACAGGACAAGAGGCAATTGTCTCTCACTGGGACACAGAAACTTCCATTTAAACATGAAAAAAGTTTTTTTTTACCTGTGAGCATGATCAAACACCAGCACAGGTTGCCCAGAGAGTCTGTGGTGTCTCCATTTTTGGAGATACTCAAATCCAACTGGACACATTCTGAGCAGGAGCTGGTCCAGCTGATCTCCCGAGGTCCCTGCCCACCTCAGACCGTCTGTGGTTTTCCCTTTTTTTTAAGTATCAAGTATGTTAAGCCCATGTTGGTGTTTCATCTAACTGATCACTACCTGGCGAGAGAGTAAGTGAGGTAAAACCAATCCAACATGCTGCCCTTTCCCAAAGAAAATCCTAAAAGAAGAAGGGTATGGGATTCGCAGAATCACCTGCCAGCTACTTGGTCAAGATGCTCCAGCAGAGAGGATGAAATAGGAAGCATGTGGTAAATGTGTGTTGCTGTCTGCTACAGGTGCTATACCCAAGAAGGGCTGAGGAGGCAGAACGAAGCGGGTATTGGGCAAAGGAAGAGAAACAAAGCACAGGCTGTGACTGCCTGCCCTTAAGTCTTCAGCAGTGAGAAAACATACCCGTCTGCCTGCACTTTGATGTGCTGGATGCTTGGTGAGAGCTCATCATCACTGCACCGTGAGCACTCTGATTTACTCTCCCTGCACCGTGATACCTTTGATTAGTCTTTTCCTCGAATTCCATTTTCAGTTCTCATTGTGGTAGGTGTAATGGGTCTGCACTGAATGATCACATTTTTCCTCTCAGTCCTCATTCTCGGTCCTTTGGTCAAGATACAAAATCAGTGGGTTCACTGAAAGCCCTTGTGATTACGTGCATTAATTTTGTCTGAAATCAAGACGAAGAGGATCTAATTCCTCCTCAGAACCCTTCTCCAGCCTGAGTGCACTAATTCTCCTTTTATGCTTTTTTCCTCTCCACGAAAATTGTAACAGCTCCTTTCTGTAGACAATCTAATGCTTTAAGCTATTACAGCAAAGTATCACCACAGTTTCCAATAAAATTTTATTTGACATTTAGTTAAAATCCATTTTTTGCTACAACTGAATTTTTTTCCCTAGTCCCTTGATGGACACTTCAAGCAGAATTCATTGTCATTGTCTTAAAGGTCAAAAGTGGTTTTGGGTATTTTTTTTTCTCAGATCTTCTTTTGTAAAGCAAACTGTTACTCAGGATTATGAGACACTACGGTAAGCTGTGACAGTCCATGAAACCATTCTTCCCTGCGATTACATGGATTTCGTGAAAGTTGTGTGAGCAAACAGAAAGACCTTCACTGTAAAACCAATTATCATTGTAGAGTCCCTATAAAAGAACCAGCACAACACCAGTCTTGCATGCAAGAGCCAGCTGGAAGTGGGCGGTGTCTCCTTTCAGAAACACAAACCCCGTCGGGATTTCCAGAGGCAGTAGCTCTGAGATAAGGAGCGGTGATCCCCCCACCTCCGAGCAAGACAGACCCTGCTTTGCTCGCGGGGAGCTCACGTCAGTGGCTCCACACCATGTCAACCAGTGCAGATATGCCTGGAACGTTAGCTAAAAGTTTTTCTTTAAGTGTGTTACGAGGATTAAAAGTATAAATGCAAATATTAAATAGAAACTGTGCTTTTAGATGCCATTTTTTTTGCAACTTTTCATATATATAATTCCATTTGTTCAATAAAACCATTCTAACAAGCTATGGTGTACCATGGACTAATGGTTCAATGGTAGCTACATTAAATTAAATCTATTGCATGATGTCTCCATGTTTTAACTTTTGGTCCTGCTTCTAGAGAGCCCCGTGTGTTCTTGATTATTTTTTTGTTTTGCTTTCAACTGGAATTGTTTGGTAAATGTCTGCATTTACCTGTTAAAATGGGCTTAAAAATACAGCTATATTCAGGGTGCCTGTATTTCTACATTCCTCTATTACAGCAGCATTATAGTTTTCACCAATCTCAGCTGAAATCTGCAGAAGCTTTGATTTTCTAAAGGTCTAGTTAGGCACACAGTTTTTAAGGCATCCAGAAGTGATGCTGTCACACTGCCAAAACTGAAAACGCGAAGCCTGTTACTGGTGAAACACTGCAGAAAGCTCCAGGTGAGAGGTAGTCGTGCTTACCAGAAGGAGAGATGTGTCTCCAGGAAATGGAAGGCTCTGGCTTCCCCGTGGCCAGGCATACCAGAGTGACATTACTTCCTTCGTTCACTACGATGTCGCTCGAAATACGAAATATCTTCGGAGAAACTGGAACGAAACAAGGAGAAAGTTGTCAAGGAAAGCTGTAGAATCAGCACAATCCTGCCAGAGCACTATGAGCTGAGGAGCGCTGCGGTACCCATATTGCCATTACTGATAAAAATACTTGCAGAACTATGCAAAACCCTTGTTTAGGTGTGACCACAGCTATTTCCAGCACATTTGCAGAAGCTCAGCCATGGATTTGAAATGCTACGAGTAAGAAAGCAACAGATTCCTCGATTTTGTGCCAAGCATGGTATTGTTATCAAGTTCCCAGTAAACTGCTACTGATGGATGCTCTTGTTTAAGAGAAGGTTGAGCTTGCTTGTGACAATTTGCAAAGAAGACGAAATTAAATTTTTTCTTGTACTTTTAAAAATAATAGTGCCAATTACAGCTACTCCATGTGTACTTGGAGAGTCACATCTGTTCATGGAGAAGACTAAAATGCATTTACTTCTGTTGCTTTGCATTGCTTTTAGCCTTGCAGTAGCAACATGGCTAAGAAAAAAAAAGCTAGATTGTTTTCTTTCATTTCATCAGCAAAATTCTTCACCGAATGACATACTCTGTACTACTTATACATCTGGGAATAAAAGAACAGAGTTCCACATGGACGGAAAATGATGGAAAACATCAGATGGCCTACCCTCGAGGGAATACTTTACTTCTTGTTATGTTACATTGCGAGGAAAAGAACTCAGGGTCCCAGCCATGAAGGCAAGAATTCTGGATTTCAGAATGAAGCTTTCTTTCTAAAGATTTATGTATTTCTTTACATGTCTTATTATTACATTTGATATAGAAATCAAATCAATATGGGAACAAGGCACACCCTTATTGATGTTTCTAAAAAGCACTATTCTTTATATGGTAAATAACAAATTTTGTACAAACAACTGTAAAAGATACAGATCTTCCATGTGGGTGTTTCAGAACCTTCTGTTATGACTGCTTTCAAACCAAAGTGCTCTGCAAGGTACATGGGTACCAATGGGAACCCAGCACTCAACTTCCTTCTGCACAAACCTCTCCTGTCCTCAAGGAGACCGCTAACGGCCACCACCAACATGTCCACCCCATGCCAGCTATGCCATGCCATGCCCCTTCCTTGGGGTCCCCCATACCCTGAAACCCATACAGGTCTCCCCCACTCTCCCGTCCCAGATCAAGTTAACTGCCATTAACATTACGGCTTGGCAGTAGACAAAACATTGAAAGGAATTCTTACTTATATGTACAGAGTATGAAAAATAAATCTACTTCCTAAAGACAACTGGCGATGGATCATTCTATCAGAAATGTAGATATTCATCTGAGAGTAGGATATCATGAGTAATGGGGCATATGCAATGGCTTTATTCAGTCTATAATATTTTAAAAGTATCTTCCTAAATCTGAGCTACTTATTCCTTTATCCTTCAAGAAAGAATGTACTTCCAGAAAGTCAAGTAAAGGAATCAAATAACTCAAAACAGTTCTTCTCACAAGTAAATACATACAATTGACTGATGCAATATCTATTTGGAACTGTGGAAATATCTTCCAGATTAAGTAAATGTTATGGTGTAATATTTCCAACAGCATGAAACTTCTCATTCAAGGTTCTGCACCTTTGAAGGTAGAAAAAGAGAGAGATCTGCTCATGTTCTGGCATTACTGAAGCAGTATCATAGAGGGATTTTTCACACCTGATACCTGATGTTATTTATTCAGGTGATTTTTATTTGCCTTAAACTTGTCACTAAACACAGAGGACGTGGCTAGAGCCTGCTGTGCTGCCACAATGGCACCTGGGGGGACAGTACAAACTAAACCAAGTTAAAGGAGGTCTCCTGATGCTCAGGCTGTGCCAGGGTCGGGATCAGGTTTAGTCCAGTCCCTTCCCTGCATCCGTCACCAGAAAACGGGTGGCTGAAATATCCTCTCGTTGTTCAGTATACTGATTTAATGAGTATCACTGATAAAAACAGATTAGAAATATGGTAACATTAATTTCAGTGGGAATGAGGAGCTTTTGGCACACTATTGCTGGTCCTTCAGCTCAGCTACTGTAGATCCAGTGAGCAGAGTGGCATAAGGATCCAGTAGAAAAGGTGGATCATATAAGCAATTGTAACCTGCTCAGTATACTGAACAACAAGTGGATATTTCAGCCACCCATTTGCTGGTGACGGATGCAGGGAAGGGACTGGACTAAACCTGATCCTGACCCTGGCACAGCCTGAGCACCAGGAGACCTCCTTTAACTTGAGAGCTGCTTTTTTCATTGCTATGGCTTTTTTGAATGTGGGAAAGGATGTCTTATTTTCATCACAATTTAGAATTATCAGGTAAAAAATCTGGGGCCTCAGCATAAGTGCATCCATCTTGTTTCTTAAAATATGTGCTGCCTTACTGTTTCCCCCTTTGAAATGTCCAATCAAAGTCTATGAGTATCAGGATTACAATGTATGTAGCTGGACATACAGGTCTGCTTCTTCCAAATATATTCTGCCCAGATAAAGGTGACGACAAGTCATGAATTATATTTTTTATAGTAACATTTATTAAATCATATGGTAGCCAGCTCCCTTTTCAGATTTTAATGTAATCAATCCCATTTTAGACACAATACGGACAATTCCAACAGAACATATAAAAACTGTGAGAGGAATTGGACCATAAGTACAGAAGTGCTACATCTGGGAGTTTGGCAAGAAAGATTTTACCACCAGATTCTAAGGAATCACCTGCTTCATCCCTCCCAGGTGTTGCAAGTACAGCTTTTTTACTTGTATTCCCTTAGCTGAAGCTTTGTATGCTTGCTTTTCAACAGAGTGACTTTTTTGGTGAAAGAGAAGTATTACATAGCCTCTTTTCCAGCATCCCCGATAGCCTTAAGCTCTTCATCCAAACGCTGGGCTGCATACCCACCTCTCTGTCTGCAACAATGATTTGACTTCTTTCCTGATTTTAATTTCATAACTAAGCAATAGACACGACGGGGGCAGGGGCGGG